CTGCTCCTCGTTTATTAATTTCGTCACACTAGTGTCACACCAGATGCCGTCGAGTCGTGCTGCTGCCGAGAAGCCGAGCCGTCTTTCCAAGGTCGACCTTAAGTCACGTAGGCACACGCGAGAACATGTATACGGGGGACCTGGGGCCTGCCAGGTCCTCCCCGGTTTCCCATGCGCATTACTGACAGCCTCCAGTGGCACTGCTGAGCGTAGGATCGTTGCGACTTGCTGTCGAGAGCCCCTCGTTGCCTGCCGTGTCTGAGATCAGGCGGAGTGACAATTTCATCACACCTTGCCCGTTCATTGTAACGCTCCACAACTGTTCCTTCTCTGTGCATGTACCTAGCACTTTTAAAACAAAATATATCAGCCTACCAGGCTCAGTGCAAGTGCACAAGTTCATAAATGTAGTCGCAAGAATATTTGGTGAGCGAGATCTGGTTGGATCTAGCCATCAGTAGCATGTTTCAGCCAGTTTTAGACTGCTTCTGAGCATCTACAAAAATACCATACCGTCTTTCACCTTATATATGTCATGATATGGGTATCATATTATAGCATGAATACAGAGCTATCTTAAAAAATATTCCCAGCACCTCCGGAGGCAGATTGAAGTAGCAAAAGCAAATTAATAAAGCAGGGAACACTAATAAACGAGGGTGCCATCATAGTATGGGGCAAGTTGCTGCAGTCATCAACGAGATCCTCCCGGCGAAGTGGATCGTAGCAAATATGGTCAATCAAGCCGCAGAGATTCTGCAAGCTGGTGGCGCGATGGTTGCAGTCAAGCCCAAACCCTGAGGTTTCCAGGTCTCATTTTTGTTCAATACTCCTATGTTTATATGACCTACATTGCTGTCGGGTACTGGCGTCACAGCCCGACGTCAGTACTCCCATTTTGTCAATGCCGCCTGCCGCATGAAACCGGTAATCACATGGAAAGTGCATTGTCGTACGGCGCGCCTATGGCCATCACGAACGCTTTACCGGACTCTCACACAGACCGAGCATCCTACATAAATCTTTTTCTCTCCTCTTGGCCGTCACTCCTCCCTTCGTTCCCTGCACTCACCTTGCACAACATGTCTGTCATCACCACACCCGTCACCAAGCTTTTCGGCATCAAACACCCCATCTTGTTGGCCGGTAAGTATCGTGAGCGGCACAAGGATATATGTACTAAATAGGTTCATGCATCCAGGTATGAACGTTGCTGCCGGTCCTGAGCTCGCAGCTGCAGTCACGAACGCAGGAGGTTTGGGTGTTATCGGAGGAGTGGGCTACACGCCGAATGTCCTCCGGTCCCAGGTATGTTGTCACGCGCTTCGTTCTCAGTGCCCATGCTCACCTCGCAACCGTAGATTCATGCCATTAAGAATGACCTGCACGATAAGAACGCACCATTTGGTGTTGACCTTCTCATTCCCCAGATTGGCGGCAGTGCTCGCAAGACAAACGTAAGTTCTTTTTCTGATGCTGTTCCGCGATGAACTCTAATGCTATTACTATGTAGTACGATTACACCAAGGGTCAGCTCCCCGAACTCATTGACGTTATCATCGAAGAAAGGGCGAAGCTCTTTGTCTGTGCTGTTGGCGTTCCTCCGCGGTGGGCTGTTGACAAGCTCCACAAAGCAGGCATTCTCGTCGCGAACGTGAGTGGATGCTGTCTTCGTACGCTCCAGCTCACCGATAAAGCTGCTTGTGGTTAGATGGTTGGCCACCCAAAGCATATTCCCAAAGCACTCGAGGCCGGTGTCGATCTCATCTGCGCGCAAGCCGGTGAGGGCGGTGGACACACTGGCGACATTCCCGCAACGGTCCTCATCCCTGCCTGTGTCGACGTTGTCCGTGGGCACAAATCCCCACTGACCGGTGGGCCGGTTTATGTTATCGGTGCAGGTGCCGTCTACGACGGACGCAGCCTAGCAGCAAATCTCTCGTGGGGTGCTGAGGCTGTGTGGGTCGGCACGCGCTTCGTCGCGAGCGTGGAAGCGGGCGCGCCCAAAGCGCACAAAGAGGCTGTTCTCAGCGCGGGATACGAGGACGCGATAACTACGCTGATTTATACCGGCCGGCCGCTCCGCGTGCGGCGCACGCCGTACGTTGAGGACTGGAACAGCAACCGTCAGCAGGAGATCAAGGAACTCACGAGCAAGGGTATCCTCCCGCATGATCATGAGCTCGAGAAGCACCCTGAGAAGTCTCTTGAGGGTCGCACGTTCCTTATCGGACGGGTCTCTGCGCTCATTGATGAAGTCCTTCCCGCCAAGACTATCGTCGAGAACATGGTCAACGACGCAGCGAGAATCATTCAGTCGAATGCGGCGAAGGCAAAGGTGCAAGCTAAGCTGTAGGTAACATGAACCTAATTTACGCATGTTGAAATCTACACATGAAGAATCGGATGTTTTATTGCATTAATGTTCGTTTGGTAGCTTGACACTGTATACCTAAGTCTGATACATATCTCGACTATACCCTTTGATAGCTGATTGTCCGGGTACGAATGAGCCGTAGAGATACCGCAGCATTATCTGCCGCAGATAGTCATATC